TTTTAGAAAATCTTGATGCTGCTATTTGTGCTGGTGGAGTGAACAGACGCGGGCTGTTCCAGTTAAGCTAAAAGTGAAAGTGAGCACTGCTATTGTCTGAGCCTTTATTGTGTGTGGTTTCAAAAAAGCCTTGTTATTTAGATTTCTTCTTTAATCGGAACTAAACCTCTTCTGTCCACACTGATAATTTGAAAGATAGCAGTCAATTTTCTCAAATAGTTTAGCCTTAAAATGCTACAGGACGCTTGTTCAGCATTATTTGGTGAGCTCCAAAGTGCAATGGTCTTCCTATGGAAAGAAGAGGACTCGAGTCCTCAGAGCTTCTGAGAGATCCAACTACGCGAAGGGTCGAGTGGCTCCTTGTCCTGTTTTTCAAGGATGAACCGATACCTGTTGAGGAGCTAGGACAAGGTGTGGGAATGTTGTTCTAGGCTGCCCAACAGTCCTACTGTATTACATGCCCAACGCTGGTCTTACTGATTTTTGCAGTTGCTTAAATAACTAGGCTAAAACCCATCTATTTTTAGTAAATCAAAACATGATTAAAATGCTGACGTTTAATATACAGTGGTTTTGGAGAACACATGAATACTTTTGTATGAGTGTGAATTGCTTTTTAAATTTGTCAGTATTATTGGTATTTTTTAAATAAAGGTAACAACTTTTTCCCTCGGCGTTTTTGTGTGGTTTAACTTCACGCTTCTGTTCTTTGAACGGGTAAGTAAACCAGGAAGACCATTTTAAAATGTTTGAAACGGTACCTGAGCAAACATACTTAAACTGACAAAGCATGACTCTTTCAACTGAGTCTAAAACGATGGGAGAAAACAACGTTTGAAAAACAGATTTAGATCTTCACTAAAACTGCAGTAGGAACGCCTCTCATCTACTCCTGATGTTTTCATCCTTCCCGTGGTCGTCCCCTATATAGTATAGTGTACCTCTTCCGGTATACTCTGTCGTATAGGGTTTCTCCTTCCTCACAGGTAATGGCTGCGATACGATTGGAGATTCCAACTGTATGTTTATATAATCGCTTATTGTCAATAACGAGGTCTAAATGTTATTTTGAGAGCTAAACTGATTTTAAAATCCTTCAGTAGTGAACTTTCAGTTCCCGATGAGGCTGCTGATTTCCAGAGGCTAGTGCCAACAGGGGTATCTGGCATGAGAAGGACGGTCAGGTCTGCGCAGTCAGACTGCGGAATGTATGGCAAGAGGCACCGGGAGGGGGGTTTATTACAAGGGAGTGACAAACTCTTTTGGACACACTCCTACAGCTGGCTTGTACGCTCAAGTGTACAAACTCCTACCTGCTTACAGGAAGGTAGGAGCCTTAGTTGTAAGGCAGGAAAGAAATGGATTTTCCCAAGCCCACAGGTAGAATTAAATTCGGATTTCTGTCCCCTGGCCTGGTTCTCAGTTAGCTCAGACTGGTTTCTCTTACTACAGAACATTCCGAGAACAGTTTTAAGCTTGCAGTCTAAGAAGGTAAAATATCTAAGACCTACGGGAGACAGATTAATAAACTGTCAAAAATTGTGACTAACAGGAAGCATCTGCTGTTTCCTCTTAACTAAAAATACAGGATTTTTAATGTTCCAAAAACAGAGCAAAACTTTCCTGTCTAAGGGCATGTCATAAAGCTAAGCTAGGCCTAATAAGGACACAGAAGAAGTGTCTTCCCAGTCTGTAAATGGAGTTTCTGCAGCACCTGATTCTCCTGCTGCTTTTTTGGGGGGGTCAAAGGTAGACATGAAGTTTTCTGAGAAGCCTAAACTGGCCCTTTCCATCCTGCGCTCTCCAGACACAGGCAGGTACCTGCAGGCACTCGCTCCCTTTTCAAGCAGGACACGCTGCAGTGTGTGTGTGTGTGTGTGTCAGCAGCTTCATACGGTCCCGTTTTCAAACGGAGCACTAACCACAACATGCAGATGATCCTGACTACACACAAGGCTACTTAACTTGCTTTGGGGAAAGGGCCTGAAAACATTTGGGGATTTTCCATTAAAAAGGCTGAGGTGTTTGTGGTCCTAAGTAGAAGAGAACAAGCAAGGCTGGTTGTTCAGCACAGTGGCAACCAAAGATGATGTTGGTGGGGTTAGTCTTTAAAAACAAGAAAATGGTTAAGTTGCCAGATGCTCCATGGAAGTGGTGATGGCTGCACAGAGCAGCAGCTGTGCGTGATGCCAGGGGATGAGGAACAAGCCAGGGGCAGGTGTGAGCTGCAGGCTGTGAGCCCTGACGGCTCCTGCAGAGCCTCAGCCTGTGGCTGCAAAGTGCAGCAGCTCATGTGTGCGCAGCAGCAACCTCTCATGCACCTCAAACGTTGCAAGCGCTAGTAGTATTGGCAACTCACCCCAAAAGACCGTGCAGGTGGGGGATCCTGCCCAAAAGGCCAGGCAATGCGTGGACAGAGGAGGTGTGCGCCAGTACGAGTGAAGGGACCTAAATGGCTGGTGGCTGTGTGGGCCCAGGCAGGACACTGTTTAAAAAAAAAAAAAAAAAAAAACAAAACCAAAACCACACAGGATTTTCTTCTGAGTCTGTGCTTAGAGGAGTGTGGCAAAGCCATCTGCCCCACGAGCCGCAATTAACAGCCCTCCCCAGCAGCCCTTGCCTTTCCATCTTCTTTGTAGGTTCAGTTCAAAACTTTGTGCACGTGTGTGTGCACATGCCCCACCCCAGATAAAAAAGAGCAGCGTGACAGAGGACAAGGACTTGGTCGCTAAACAGGACCAGGCTCCTGAAGTCAGAAGAGAGCTTCTGCATTGAGGTTTGTGGCAAAGACGCCCAAATGGCAGAAGAAGCTGTAAGAATACAGCAGAAATTCAGCATTTTGGGGCTCATTCCTGTTACCCGCAAGTTTCGTTCAGAGAAAGACGTGGGCCCGTGCAGCTCCACGGGAGCCACTGCTGGGTGTTGCTCTTAGGTGCTCTGAGGCCTCTGCTGCCCTCTCTGCTCTACCCAGCACCTCTGAATGCACCTCTTCCTGGAGCAGTCGCAGGCCAAACTCTGAACGCAAGGCCAGAGCTCACACACAGCGGCTGCCCCAGCTTTGCGCTCCACTGCGGGATACCCACATTTGCCCTGTGCTACAGGACACGCTACACAGCGCTCCAGGCCCTTGTTTACAGTTTGATCGGTAATGACTGACATAACTAGCATTTTCTCTGAACAAATCTTGATGGCCTACAGAGCCACCTTGACTTGAGCAAACCGTCGGTTTCAGGCTGCCTTCTGACAGATACTCGGCCCTTGTCAAGTCTGACTAGACCTGCTGACAGGACTTGGCCACAAGGCCTTTTCCACTGCATCCCCACCCTGCACTGCACAGCCTGGTGTTTGCCGGCCGTTTGCCTCGACGCGAATGCCAAGAACAAATGCCTCTAGCTCCCTCCCCACAGAGGAGTACTTACCCATCGTCCTGCCTTTCATACCACCCAAAAGCAAATCTGTTCTTTTTTCCAAGAAACAAATGGGGCGTTGAAGCCATTTATCTTCCCCCTTAACTTCAGCTGCAATTAAAATGGCAAAAGAAGGAACGATAATTGAGATCTTTCTGAGCTCAGCAGAGCTATTGTTGGAGCCAAACTATAAACTGCTGAGCAGTTCTCTCCGGCGGATTGCAGCGATGGAGGCTGCCACGTGCGCTCCCCAAGTGATTCACTGCAGGGCTGAGCCTTGCTGGTCACAAGAAATACCCGAGCTGCTGGGACAAAAGGAACGTTGCAAATTTCATTACCTTCACTGAAGTTCCCTCCTCACCAGGACCATGAAATCTCCCCTCCCTGCCCCATCAACAGTAAAGAAGTCCCCAAGAATGTAGAAGCAGGGACCTAAACTAGGAAAAAACATTCCCTGCCCTTCTTCCTCCGCTCTACTTCCCAGCCTCCTCGCTTCGTCTCCTCACCTGGAAGCAGAGGTCCGGACACTGCCAAAGGTACAGCGGTGCCACTCGGGGAGCCCTGAATGGCTGCCTCAGAAAAACACATTCCTCCAGCCTCTCTGCAGGGATTGCCAGGCTGGAGGCTTGCTCTCCTGGCGCACACAGCACAGGGCGAGGCTGCTGACCCTCGGGATGGGAGCTGGGAGCCCGGCAGCCCCTGCACAGCGGTTTATTCTTAGTAATCCAAGGCCAGAAAAGAGACAAATGGGTCAGGTCCGTAAAGCTTTCCGTAGCTAATTGGACTGTTAATGCTTGAGGCCAGTGATGCACCTGCTGAGCTAATCCATGGGCTAAAAGCAGGGACTTCTGCCCGCTGAAAGGATGAAAACTGAGCAATAAACAAGCCAGCAGCAGTCGGAAGGAACATGAAGGATGTAGAGCCCTTTTTTGCCCCGTGGATGGAGACATAAGCCTAGGGGAGACGGCTGGTCTGAGAAGTACAGGCACACAGGCGGCCCCTGGGAATGTGGGAACAACTGAAAGAAGAACCCACCAGCCTAGCTCAGATCTTCTCTTCCATCCAGGGATATGGGTGTTTTGCCTTAAGGTGTGAAGTCCCAATTCAGAAAAGCCTCTTTCCAGCACAGCTGGACCTACGTCCCACAAGGACCAAGGCAGGAGCTGGGATACCCTAGGCCACACAGTATCAGGTAAAGAAGGGGGGGGTCTCCAAAGGCAAGGGGAGCGCCTTTCCCCCAACCATTGACAGCATTCAATCTGAAGAGCGAAGCTTATGATACAACACAGCAGAATGCCCCAGTAGCATTTGGGTTACTCTGACACGCTTCTACTTTATATGAAATTCCACAACAAAGTCTGTAGGTAAAATGCGCCTCCTGCCATGTAACATCATTCTTTTGTAGTGCACAGCATTTTTGGTACCGCAGAGGTCTGGGTAATCAGTGGTAATTTACCTTTTAAAAATTAAAAGTGCAGCAAATAGTTTTGTTTCATTTTCCCAGCCAAGAAATTATGCAATTAATAGACAAATCACACTCAACAGCTGCTTGATCA